TGACCTGCTTGCCTTGCATACCTGGGACGCGGCACCGTATAATCCATGGCACACATCGCTCGGCCGTCTGACCCCACCGTCCCCGCCATCCGGCACCCGATCATCTCCGTTCCCCGAACACCTCTGGCCGCCGGCACAGTGCACGCTGCACGCTGCACGCTGCACACTGCACCGGGGATGCGCAGCCCGTGCGCCGAGGAGGGTGGTGGAGGGAGGGCAGCGCGGTGCGAGGCAGGTCAGACAGACCTCCGGGCGGGGCCGCATCCCGGCACGAGGTTCCGTGAACCTGATCCCGGACCCTGCTCTGGCGAATTGCGGTCCGGGTTTGCACTGAGGGAGTGTAAAACACTTCCTACGAGGCTCTCCCGAGCCTACTGTGCGGAGGGATGAACCGCGCACACCAGGGCGCCAGGTGCGTTTACAGCGCCGCCCGGCTGCCCCCGGTGACCTGTTTCGTCGGAGGAATTCGCGGCACGCAGGGTGCCACTCCTCTCGTGCACTGAGTGCAAAGGCGTCGCGGCGGACGTTTTTGGTCGCGGTTTGAGTGAGCGACGACACGACAGGGAGTACATTATCCCGCTGAGAGAGCTGAGAAAGCCGATGTGAATGCATTCCTCCACACTTGAAGAATGCCCGACACAGCGGTGATGCTGTTGCAGTCAGACGTTCAGCCTCATACAAGTTATGTTCTTCTGCAGTGTTGTCTGATAATGATGGATGTCAGACATAAAACCGCAAATCTGCCGCAGCAAAATTTGCATGGATAGAAAGAGTAACGGTTAAAATCCCCCTTACACAGTGGATGAAGCCACATAAACAATCAATCAGTGTGTCCATAAATTGCTAGTAACTTGTGCTTGGAAAAAAGGATGCTACAACAGCGCATTGTTCTGCAACTGGTTCGGGCTGATGATATCTCGCCTAAATGTGCATCAAACTGTTAAACTGTAAAATCACAAGGCTGGCTGACGAAGTCCAGTCTTGCTTCGACAAACAAGGCCCAAAATGATGAATTTGTGACGCTCAGGCGCTGCAGTTAGATGACCTCCCAGCTATTTCGTCGATTCAGGTGGCTGTGAAAAGAGTTCACAGCCTGAAAATTCGCCATGGAGAGAGTTCATTCTTGGAGGCGTTTTCTCCAGATTCCCACAGCCATTCAGATGTGGTGAGGTTGAGGGAACCGGAGGGCTGTCATGCATGTAATGTCATTGTAGAGATTCGCTCACATAGTAGCGCAAATATCTCTGAGTTTCCTTTAGGTGGCATGACCTCATGACTAGAATAAGCATGAATCAGTAAAAATTGTTATACTCGTAGTTCGTGAAGCTGTTGTGTACATTTTTACCGAAGCGTGACCGCAGCTTGCTCTACTAACAATCACTCCAAAAGTGGTCTCTGAAGTGACTGGAGCGACTGGAGCAGCCCTGCGGCTCTGACCCGGCTCAGCGGAGCAGAACAGAGGGTGGCTGCTCTCCGGAGGCCTTAGGTGCGTTCCGAGCCAGCCTCTCTGAGGGCGGAGGCTGACATTACTCAGATGGTTATCGTGGTGCCACCGAACCTCTTCCCTCCCTCTCTCCCTCCGCCCTCTCTCCGACGAGCTCGTCAGATCTACCGACAGAGGTGGCATTGTTTGGCTACACCGGTGTGATTGTCTCCTGTGAATGGATGCCTCGGATGGGTGGCTGAAGAAATTGACACGCCGAGCTGATTCTGACGGAAGTGGTAGCGATGTGTCAGCCAGGTCACCCGCACATATGGCTATGACGGCCCTCGTCCGCGTGTTTTTTGATACAAGAAAGGATCAAGTACATTGTTTGAAAAAGAAATCGTCTTTAGTCTTGATAGTCGTTTTCACGACGGACTATCCGGCGAGTGCACCTAATTTGACCAAATCTGCATCTAATCTCTTTTTTAGCAAATATTTTCATTTTGTGAATTTATTTCAGTGTTTCAAGCGATGATACTTTCTGATAATATGACAAAGCAGGCATATAAGCAATAAGTGCAACCCTAGCTGATAGCTAATAAGAGACACACTGAACCAAATTTGACCAAATCTGCACCTAATCTGCACCAAATGTGCACCAGATGTGTACCAGATGGCCGTCGTGAAAACGGCTAATAGGTATCTGCTGCTATTATCTGAATAGCAGTTCAAAACATTAAAACATACATATACAGGGTGATCCAAAAAAAATGGAACCCCTAACTTAAAATGTCTGTAAGTCAGAAATTTTTCACTTTATTGATAAATTGCGAACACCATTAGAAAGAGCGTTTAATTCTCTATCAAACCAAGTTGATTGTACTTACTTATTATTATAAATATTGCCCTAGACATATGCCTATAAAATTTGTGTCACGAAACTCAGTGAAACGGTTTTGAACATACTATGCGCAAATCAGTGATTGACGGTTTGCTGTTCTGATCATGTCGCTTGTTGGAGGTTCATGAATAAAAATAGCTCATTCACGTGCTATTGTAAGGAAAGAAAAGGCTGACGGCCTGCTGGGACCAGTTGTCCCAGAGACTGCTGGCCCGCGCAGTCGGAGCTGTCCCCAAGCAACTGCAGGCCTTCGTGACGGCCCCCGGAGCTCGCGTTGAGCACATGCTGTGATGAACAGCGAAAGCTAGGACGCGTGTATCTGTTCTACTGTGTGCTTCTGTGTTAACTTTTATGAAATAAAATTGAATTTGGATGTGGTGTTATTCGCAAAAAGACAACAGATAGAGTGCTAACGGATTTCAGCGCATTGTTAGCATTTGGCGATTTCGTTTCACTCAGTTTTCTGACGTTCATTCCAAAAGCTAATAGTGTGCCAATGCTTTACAACATACATACACCAATTTGACGTGATTTTATAGAGGATTTAATGCTCTTTCTAATGGTGTTCGCAATTTGTCAATAAAGTGAATGCTTACGGACTTAGAGACATTTTAAGTTAGGGGTTCCAAATTTTTTGGATCACCCTGTATACTACATAGGTCATAAGTGCAGACGCATGCTGCCACGCATATCTCGAACCATCGAGCACTATATATCGAAGCAGGTAGTGCCCATGCCCAAACCTAAGCTAAAGGAATAGTAAACGCACTTTACATGAAGCTAAGGAAACTACTGGACAGGCACATCAAGAAGATGCAACCAGAACAGTCCGCTGAACTACCGTGGGAACACCTTGTAGTGGAGAAAACACTCTGGCTTGTATCACTCAAGCGTAAGTACCGAGGCAAATATCACTTAACGAGTTTACTGCGCGGTAAGCTCTCACGCTTTTCACACGGCACTTTACCGTCCACTAACGCACTCTGCACACAGAAAAATATTAACACCGTTAGCGGTGTAATTGCACAGTACATATCTGAGCACTTGAGGAAAGTTGATTTAGTCCCTTCCCCGCTTAAATTACTCGCGCTTCCAAATGAACACCAGGAAGAAGGTAATAGAACACTGTTAGGAGGGTTGGGTGTTTTGCTACATGTAGTAAAACACCCAACCCTCCTAACAGTGTTCTATTACCTTCTTCCTGGTGTTCATTTGGAAGCGCGAGTAATTTAAGCGGGGAAGGGACTAAATTAACTTTCCTCAAGTGCTCAGATATGTACTGTGCAATTACGCCGCTAACGGTGTCAATATTTTTCTGTGTGTGCTCGCGGGAAAAGTTTGAAGCTCAGAGTGGGCCAATGGCGGTTTGAGAGTCATGGAGCTAAGACCCTGCCAACTCCGGTCCTTACTTATGGTGGTTAGGTGAGTTACCTTTATTAGTATATTTGGAGTTCGTGCGATGGGTATTATCTGTAGGCGCCAATTTACCCTTGACCTAACGGAGTACGACGACTCGGCGTTATTTTCTGATGTGGCATTCAGAGTTCGGACGAGGCGCTCGTCTATCATTATCATGAGGTGATCGAACAATCGATCTTGTTTCACTAAACAGCACTAATTTTCAGGCTGCTATGGTGTGTAGCGCCACTCACTGCCAGCATGAACACTGAACATTAAGGGTTTATCGGTCTAGTTAGAAACACGTTTCCATAATAGAAAGTTGTAAATTAAAAACAGATGGCCATTTTAAGTACCTGTACCTACATAATATGTTGTGAGCTTTCTTTGACTGAGTGTCTACCTGTAACCTATGAAAATTATTTTGGATCGATGCCCATACCAACCATCAGAAAAAGGGAGAATGTGCACTAAGAATTATGTCATGTAACCGTCTCCGAATGAAGTGGCAATTACATTCATCGTGCAATATGCAATCGCATTGAAAATGCACACATTTATTATTTGTCAAGAGCTGAATAAATGCTTCTCTGTCAATAGATTCTACCACCTTCGTCCTTCATGCAATTACTTGCTCGTGATTGTTTCGTACTTTTTTGTTGACACCTGATGCCTCTGTAGAAAGCTTGCAACTACGCACAGCTATTTTTATAGGAACCGTAAGCGTAGGTCGTTATTTCAGACTTACTAAAATATTGCAGTTTGCAGAAGCACGCCCCAATAAAGCAGCGTTGAAGGAAGACGTGTAATGTGTATCATAATTACAGCAAAGCTTGTGAAAGGATCCGACTCATCCATCAAAACATTATCCTTTCGCTGACGCATGATTATAACCATAAATCAAAGTTGACACTCTGATGAACTACGGCGTGAGTTTACATCTTCCTTTCCATTTAAACATTTAACTCACGGAAATTTAATAATATAAGCCTTCAAACTTAATTGGATTGTAAATTGTGCTTAGATTACATGTTACTTTTGTGAGCGACATATCAAACATTCTGTTTTCTTGTATAATATATTTTTTGTTTCTTGCTGGTGACCTGAAACTGGAGGTTTTGACCTATATATGTTATGCCTATTTACTATAAATAGCTGCAATGCCGCAGAAGGAAAGAAGGAGGCAATAATGATACCTAATGCGCCTAAATGACACAAGGAAGTCACATAATTCGGTCACATTAGGCCCATTTTCAGACCAACTTCTGTGATACTGAGGTATATCCGAACCACATTCAAGAGAACATTAAATGGACAGATGTCAAATTAGACTGCGCACCCGCGACATTACTCTAACCGTCTCTGGCGCGTGTTCTATATATGACAACTGCGGTCAGATCAGACCCACAATTTGTGCGTCCCGGTCCGCCATCCCTGTCCTCATGGACGGTCATTACAGTCTGTTGGCGCGGCCAGACCCGCGACCCCGTAATTTCCCCTCTTGGTCCTCCGAGCTGCTCGACGCTCGTCTTTCCACATTTTGCGAGACGTTCATGTTTCTGTCTCTGCATCTTCTCGTCTTCGCCCGTGAATTCAGATAGCTACCACCCGAAATCCGCTCAAACCCTCAACCAGACGTTGCAAAGCGCAACATTCTTGCAGTAAGACACCTCAATCCCCTATTTACTTCCTTCATCCCATCAAGAGAGCTGCTGGCGGTCGACAGCTGCGGCAACCGCTTGCGGGCGCCGCCATCTTGGCCCGGCGCGGACCCTCTGCCGGTGACCCAGCGGCGGCGGCGGCGGCGGCGGCGGCCGGCTCCAGTCGGTGTCGGGCGGCCGCGAAGTCGGGACGGCTGTGTTCCTCGCGAGCGGAAGGCTCATGCAGACGCGGTAGGGAGGCGTCGTGTTCAGACTGTGCTCCTGCTGCCGCTCTTGGCGGGGTGTCAGGACGACTGACAGCTGAGTTCGACCGCTGGTGATCAGGTGAGGACTGAGGAGGGTTCGGTGGGCGGGAGGGGTGAGGAGGGGGTCGTTGGGCGGGAGGGGATGAGGAGAGGGTCGGTGAGCGAGAGGGGTGAGGAGGGGGTTCGGTGGGCGGGAGGGGTGAGGAGGGGTTCGGTGAGCGAGAGGGGCGAGGAGGTCGGAGGACAGGAGGGGACGGAGAACGAAAGAGTGTTGTGATGGGGGATAGGGGCAGGGACTGAGCATGTGACGTGATGTATAATGGCTGTTCGTTGTGTTTGCTTGATGCCATGCATTTTAGGTAACATTGTGTCAAAAAGTGTGCAGTCTTTTTCAACAAACTAACAGGGACTTTGCAAAAAAAAAAAAAAAAAAATACGCTTCACTGATCGAGAACCTAAATGTAGGTGCCCGCTATCGCACATTCATATGCGTTATAACGTTCGGCCTAGAAAAGAAAAAAAAAACTTGGGGTGCCTTCCTAGAGTCATTTTAATGGCAATTGTCATTTTACTGTGTTAATTCAACACAAAGTTCATCCCTATTGTGAAAAATGCCTTTAAAGGTATTTTGAACAAGCAACATGCACTGGTGTCTTTAAAATGTGCCACAAATGCAGCCTTTGCACTTGTATGCTGGTAAATTCCGGAAGCTATTTCAATCGGCGTAGCTTTAGTATATGCTTCCTCCCATGGCCAATTAGTGGGTATGCTCCTTCAAAAGACCAGCTTCAAGTATGTCGTTTCGACTCTTTAGTGTCACTTGACCTCGACCTCTCTCGCGTGGGTGTCAGTAATGTCGCATAGGCTCTCCGAAATTACGGTCTCACACAATCGCAGCGGGGCAAGGACCGTAATCGAGGCGGGATATCATCAAAACAAGTAGCGGCTTCCATCAGCAAAACCAGTCCGATCGTTCCCCCCCCCCCCCCCCCACGTCTCCCATCGATCACATTCTCAATGGTAATTGCTAATCGCGCAAAGGGGTCCGCCGGAGTTTGATTGCCTTCGTCCTCTCCGAAATCGATCGGCGCGTCTTTACTGCGCCGCGGTATGTTTGGATCACACTCCTCGCGGCGGATAACGGTAGAGAGACCGCGAAAACAATTATTGGTCGTCGGCGCCGACCACAGCAAAGGGTGTGGGAGTAGGCGGACGATGCGGCACCGGCCGCCGGCCGCTGGACGCTCCCGACCTACATCGCGACTGCACGGACGAGTGACTCGCGTGACGCGACGAGCGTCGACCGATTCACACGGCACGTTCGATCACAAATCGGCCGGGCGGCCCATCCAGCGGGATGTCCCAGACGGCAACTGACCGCCCGCAGCGCTGACCGCGCCGGCCGGCCAGTACGGGTTCTGCAGAGGCCTGCCGAGGGCGTGAGGTGGCGACCACCTGACCTCTGCACTGCTGAGCCGACGAGCTGCCGGTCGGCCTTGTCCGGTCAGCGTGGTAACGGAGTGGTGACTTTCTCACCCTAGCCGCTGATTAGCATCGTGCAACGCCCCCAGCGGCGGACAGACGGACAGACGGACAGACGGACAGACGGACAGACGGACAGACGGACAGACGGACAGACGGACAGACGGACAGACGGACGGATGAACAGATGGACAGACGGACGGACAGAAGGACAGACGGACAGACGGATAGAAGTACAGACGGGCAGACAGGCAGACAGACGGACAGACAGACAGCCGGACAGGCAGACAGACACACAAAAAGACGAACAGACGGACAGACGGACAGACGGACAGACGAGCGGACAGATGGGCAGACAGACAGACGGACAGACGACAGACGGACAGACGGGCAGACGGACAGACGGACAGACAGACGGAAGGACGGACGGACGGACGGACAGACGGACAGACGGACAGACGGACAGACAGACGGAAGGACGGACGGACAGACGAACAGACGGTCAGACGGACAGAAGGACGAACAGACGAATAGACAGACGGACAGACGAACAGACAGACAGATGAACACATAAACTTGTTCCACATTCTGCACAAGCACAAACTTCCTCTCCCCCACGACTACTCGTACCTCCGAAGTTTCCACAATTCAGCTAGAACTATCACACTGAATTTCCCTGAAGTCAGATAACCACGTACGTATCCCGAGGCGACCATCAGTTCCCTGGACCTGGTTCAAGCTCCGTGAGAAGTGGGCTGACAGGTAGCGGTGGACGCTGTCGATGGACGGTCCACGGCTCGGTGCGTTTGAGCCATCACAGAATGGCAGCCGTGAGAAAATGAGACCTGTCTGAATGAGTCGGTCGTAGTTACGCACGCTACATCCGGAGAGCTGGAACTATTGAAAATTGCGCGTGGAGTGTGTCAATGATGGTCGAAACAGGATCAGTCTAACTGTTCTTTGAGAACAGAAAAGTGCAAATGGCTTATTTAGGCCGACAGTATTTTAGGCGGACTCGGAAGCTTCTGTGAAACAAAATTTCACTGGCACAGTTTTCTCTTGAAGAGCAGTGCTCTACCACAGTTATGTTTTTGGGACGCAATGTTTTAGTGCCATATGTACTTATGTAGTATGGAAAAGTATTTTGTCTAAAAAAATGTCTCATCAAGACCTATCCTAAAGCAGTTTGACAAACCTATAAGGCTTTCATAACTTAAAAAGTCTTTGAACAGCCTAGTTACTCTGGCTGATTAATCGGACTGCTTTTGTCGTCTCCCAACCACGGTCCTGACCACCGCCACCGTCTCCACCACAACCTCCACGGTCTCCAGCTGTCTCCTCCGTCCAGCATCTGGCCGTCTCGTGCCGCTCGGACGCATCCGCCAACCGCGGCGCTCCTATGCACCGGCACGTGGGGCCGGCGCCGACCGCGGCGGCCACAATGACACACTGACCCTGCCGGCGAGTCGGCTGTGTGGGAGGCGACGGCGTGGGCTAGCCGCCCTCCGAGACGCGTGGGCCACCGCGTGGGATTGTAGGCATGTGTGGGTACGCGAGAAGACTGCGAGTTTGTCGAAAATTCGTATTGGAGAGACGACGTTCGTTCTGTCATCCAAGAAGTTCACTTGTTGGGTTGGGATTTACAATGCAAGTGATCCCAGTATCATTGCCATGTTTCTTTAGTGGGATGAAGCAGCCTTCATGACCCCGTGAGCCTTGCAAGCAGCATGAATTGGCTGACTTTGGAGTACCGGACCTTTAGATGCTGCGGCCCCTACCAGTTACCCCGGTTGGCCATGATTTGGTAATTCCCCTTCCCTGCGGCCACTCACTGCTTGTTTTTCCCCTCAGCTGTGGCCACCAATGCGTCAACGGTAGCCCGGCAGCACACTGACTGACAGATAAATCAGCCCCAGCACGAGGCCCTAAGTGCCCCCAAATGAGCCACTCATTTCGTCAGCTGGTGAAATGACTCCGCACCTGTCATCAGAGCACCTGCCAATTGCCGTTAAAACGGTCTCATTGCACAGGCTAGTGCACCGTGTGCAATTGTGTCACTATTAGCGGCACGGTATCAGCTTATCTTATCTCTCAGCGGATCGTCTGTTAAATTCGTCACTCAGGAAGTCGTGAGTCGTTCAGACTGTCAGAACATGAATCGCTCGTGCTGCTGGGTATCACTGAGATCAGTTACTCCTGAAACGAGTGAATGTCATCAGATCTAATAGCAAAATGCCAGGACGCCACCAGGGTGGGCTCTTCCTCGACTGGGGCACTTAGAGAGGAAATACTTGGCGAATATTTCGGCGTCTGGAGTTGGTGAAGGTCCCGTTGACCTCCCAGGAACGACCTCACCGCTATGTGCCACAGATGGCGCGCGCCTGACGTCTCAGCGGAGCGCACTCACGAAGAGCGAGCACCGCCGCTCGTGCTGCCCGACCGGGCGACCCCAGCGTACGGCCGGCCCGCGCCCCGCACCATCCATCAACCCACTGCCTCCGTGATTATTCAGACAAAAGATGAAACACTAAATTCGCCGCCGGCTGGGCGGCAATATCAATCGGCGCCGGGACAGGCGCGCGCCGGGTCGGGCCGGGGAGCGGTCGACAGCTGTGAAGGACCGCTCGTAGACGGGAGGGCGGCCCGCCGCCGGCTCCGGGCCGACCTCAGTGCGCTACGGTATCCTGATCGGCTCGTCACTCAGCCCTGTCCGTGAGGCGAAATTGCCCGGCTGTTTTGGAGCCTGTTTAGAGAATGCTGCCAGTCAAGTTTTAATGGTGTTTAGTAGTGCGTTGTTGGTATGAGAGACCAGCGTTGCGATTGCGGCTGCAACGACGTTGACATGTCGCGAAGACTGCATTTGATGGCAAGCACAGTAACGGAAGTGTGAAAGTTTTACGTTCAGTGGCCAACGAGGTTTACCCGTTATCTAATTAGTGCCACCTCCAGCTGTTTCCATAACAGCACCATAAAATTAATGGCTGCATTCACCTGTTAGCATCACAACTTTTTCTGCCTTCTCATTCCATTCAATGTAAATTTACATCGGACATGATGTCAGTGAGGCAAACACCATGCAGCGACCGCGGCGGTCAGTCGGCAACAGCTCAGTCATCCCACCCACAACGGTGGTCACACCAGCACCCCGCCCCGTCGGCGCGAATTCGCGGCGTCACTAGTGCGCCAAGGAACGCCGCCGGCCGCCGCCGCCGCCGCGGCCAGCAAGTAACGGTGCCACGCAGCGGCCGCGCCGTCTGTGGCGCTGCCGCGCCGCCGGCCGCCGCGCCGGACGCTTTACGAGTGCCGGAGCGGAGCTGGACGGCCCTGCCCCGTTTCCACTGCGCTCGGAGGAGGGGCGATCCTCCCCCTCTCATCAGCTCGACCGTCGGTTAACAGGCTGTAACTAACCGAGCGCGGTCGGTGAGGAGGTTTACTCGCTCTCTACTCCGACTAGACGGGCTGGAGCACCGCTCGACCACGCCTGTTTCTGAGAGGCACTACGCCATGCTCGAGATGCGACGCACCGCTGCCGATGGGTGTGTATGACGAGGTGTGTTCCGTCCCGAATGAATGGCTCCCGCGCGTGTGGCGGAGTCCGGGTAGGGTCGGTACGTTGGAGAGCCGCGCTGCCGCCGCTGGCGACCCTGCTAACGGGACTGAGCGGCCGGCCGGACTGCCGGCCGCCCGCGGAGAGCCCGGCACACACCACGCGTACTGGCAGCCGACGCAGACGCACAGACACGCAAAGACTTACAGGCAGAAGACGCAATGAGGGTCGCAGAGACGAGCAGAGGCACACTGAAATGCAAGAGGCACAAAGAGGAAATGCTCGCTTCACCACTCGTCCTCACACGGGCTGGATAAAGGTTGCAGTATTAACTTCATGCAGTTTTATCAAACGAATTACTGGCAGTCAGGTACAATAAGAATGTGAGCTGCATTCTTCCTCTGTCCTCTCAAAATGGCATCATAGGTCTGCAACCATACAATGATGAGTTTTTATATTGTCATGCAAAAGACGAATCTTCCCAGGCACACGGATGACCACTTTGTATTCACGGCTCGTCGCCCCGTCCGGCAGAATACATTACGCATCATGGGCTGGATATTTAAACGATGACTGCAGGGAGATATTATCTCTAACTGTGTGCTGAATAACGGTGGCAGCGTTTAATTCATGACAAGCTAGTGTATCGAAGTCATCAGCAAATAACGTTTTGTTCTTTCAGGTGTATCCTGTACTATCGTCTACAAAATGGCCTCCGCTTCAACTCGACACGTCGTTCTTCTGTCCCTGGCAATAGGGGTAAGTACCCGTTGGATCCTCTCAAGACACTGCACATAATAATACGCTCTGAAGAATTTCTAGTCTGTTTGATAGGCCAACAGATGATTTCTTCCCTTCATTGTTCCATCGCCCACTGTTGACGCAAGCTCTCAACAGCTGCGATCAAGACCCTGGCTCAGACCGACACCCAGACTCATAACTCAGGTCCAAGCCTCCACTCCAGTTCATAGCTCAGTCCCGGACCTTCACTCCACCTGATAACTCTGCCTGGACCTCCACTCCGGTCCATAACTCGGTCAGTGGTGGCTCGGACAGGGCTGCTATCGCCAGTTAGCCCTCCTAACCGACAATGGTACCCAGGCCATAATTCAGCAGTCAGCCACCATGACTGTTCCACCCTGATGGCTACGACAACGGTTAGTCCGGTCAGAAGGAGTCAGTGACGTCACTTAGCTGACCAGTGACGTCTCATAACTGTCTAGTGATGTCCAGTGACATGATTTAGCACAGTCAGCTCTCAGCCTTGGTTCTAACTCAACGGAATAAAAAGACTATCCTATAAAATCCTCTACATGTCCCATAAAGTCATTCCAACATCTCGTGACGTCACTTTCGGACCAATGACGTCACAGTGCGAGTGCCGTTAAGTGGCGGCGGTCGCACGCGTCCGTAACTGCCGGGATTGTCGTGTCACCGGAAGAGTAATGATTACGAGTCATGCAGCGGGTGCCGCGGCGTCCACCGGCTGTCGCTCGTCTGTCGCCATTGTGGGGGCTGGCGAGTGGCGACGATCCGCTACCCGGCTGGTTCAGGATGGGCTTAGTGGGTTAGCAGTGGATTTGACAGGAATGCTGTGGTATGTACCTCACAGACTCAAAGTAGTTAAAATGCTTCATTCATAATTGATCACAGACAGCCAAAATAGTTGACTGGTTATATATTTGAATCTATAATAGGTTACTGTCTGCCACCGTATCGTTTTCCATTAGTGCTATGCTTTTGTGCAAAGCTGCAGTCTTCGTGGACTTTCGACAAGTGCTATGTTTATATGTAACAAATGCTTAATGCAGTCTCCGATAGCGATCGAGTGCCGCGGTGCTACCCATGTGTGATGCGTTGCAGTCTCCAAGGCTTCCGGTGCTGATACATTTATATGCTATTGTGCACTCTCCTGAAGGTTCGAACTTCGAACTTCTAGCGCTGCTGTGCCTTGTAAAACTCAGAAAATGGCCGAATGGCATATTCATCTCTTATGCGACACTGACCAGTTGACATTTTAGCGCCTTGTGTATTCTGTAGTTTTTAAGAGCCCAACTATGTCCCACATTTCTCTTTCTACTTCGCAGTTCATGGCGGATACAAATGAGCCTCTACAAACTGGACACTGCGGTCCCCATGCTTCTTCACTGCGAACATCATCTGACAGAGTCTGTGAGACATCGAGGAATGCATCTCACGCTCACTCATGGGAGACAAAAATCTCAAGTACCGTTTTCTCTTTTACGTTTTCTTTCGTGTCCCATTTTCCGTATCCACTGACCACCATCGGTGCCGGGACAGGCCGGACCGGTGTGAAGGCTTCCAGCATCCCCACAGGGGCAAAAACTGGGCGATAATGGGTGCCAGTGGCCGGCGGCGCGTGCGGTCGGCCGGCCAGGCCTGGCTGAGTATATAGGGGAGGCCCGTCGGCCAGCGGTCACGCGTCGGCATCGGCCGGGCCGCGCGCCGGGCGCTATCGTGCGCCATCATGTCACGCCAACAGCGGACTGCCGGTGGGAGGCACTGGGGTGCGCGCCGGAGGGAGCACGGGACGCGCGTGGGTGCAGGGAAGAGGAGGGAGGGGAGGAGAACGGGAGGCGCCCAGCGGAGACCCGGCCCGAAATGGAAGCGTCTCTCAGGAAAGGCATTAACATTTGTCAGTAGTGATCGTTTTTCTTGGCCTAAGTGTCGTTATGGTTTACTCGTTGAAAGGAGCTCGTTTATCTTGTAGCCACTGCCGGCTAGAAGCTGTCAGTTTTAGGCCGCCGGCTCTAGAAATGAGCTCGTTGAGATACAGCTACCTCAATACGCTTTACGTCGCTCTTCGACCCTGGATAGGACAAATAACGTGCTCTTCATCGTTCCTCTTTGATCTGTAGCGCGAGTGTCTCAGTTTCATCCCACGCTTGTCAGGTTATAAAACCGCCACTCATCCTACCACCCTCCCTCTCCACCCCGTATCCTAATCTACCGTTACAATCCCAACCAAGCGCTCCACAGCCCAACTTTGCACCTCGCTTCGTAACTCCGCATACACTTCAAGGCTTGTGGTCAAATGGCGGCGACCACTGTCCCATATTCCGTGGTCAAGCCATCCTACTGGCACAATTCGTGCGAGCGCGGTGCGTTTTCCCACACGTGTTCCATCGACGGCTCGTGGGACTTCCGGTCCCAATAGCGCGCCTCCCGCTCCACGTCTGTCGGGAGAGTGATCGGCCCTCGATCAGCAGTGTAATTGGCTCATTCGTTGTGTGCTGGACTGATGAGTGACGTGATTACCCAAAGAGTGATCTCGCTTTGGCGTTTGTCAAATGTCCGCCACAAAACGTCATACAAGTTGCGGCTTTAAATGCAAGCCCGGATGATATCGCGGAAATAAAAAGCTAAAGGGGCGTTATGGACGTTACCGTAATGACTCAACCAAAGTCCAAACCGTAAAAATTTGCTAATGGCTAACAAGCCTCAAACATTAATGTAAAAATCTATCAGGTTCAGGTCTAAAAATCTAAAAGCGAGAGAAATAGAATAAAAACATTTTAGTCTAAAAATTGTCATTCATGCTAGCATTTAATAACTTATCTTATTGCCTGTCGTCGTTGAGATACAACTACTTATACACCTCAATATCTTGTAGCCAAGCTAGTATCGAGCGAGGTGCTCTCAGTTCCGTTCTCTTCCCGTGCATACTATCATGCAGGTGATATATTGGCCCCAGCACGTGACCTAGGAGTTCAATTAATGATGTATTATAGTTCAGTCATGTTTAAAGGTGGCTCGTGCATGACGGCATCATGTTTAATATGATGAATGTTGCATAACAATGAACTCTTTGAAACGTCACGAGTGGAATGTCTGTATGCACAGCTAAGCCAAAGAAGATAAAACGTCTACGTCTGACTTTTGTCGGCTATTTACGTAGAATGAAGTTCATACGTCCCCATTCCAACATTCCCTAGATGAATACGTGATCTTATAAAATAAAATATGCCTCGGATAAGTAACAAAGCTGTCAGCTATTGGCTAGCACTACCAACAGCTTCCCGTTGCCCGTTTGACTACTGTTTAAATCTGCCCTTCTGTTTGATAAGCCGTTTTAATATCGTGCATCCCGCCGGGTGCCGAGTCTCTATGCTGGTGGGCTGGGCGGGGCAGAGTACAGCGTTGACGTTATCTCCTCACGAGACGACCACCAGGGTGACGCAAAAAGGCGCCTTAGCTAATGGCGACTGGCGTGTTCTTATGCTGAATGCACCGGGATGGTGCAGAGCTGATGGAAAACAAATCCATCCCGTACCTATTTTACCGATTTCCCTTGATACTTGAAAGCATGGGACGACCAATAAAGTCTATTTCATCTGACCACCTTCAGTCCCACCCCACGGAACAGTTCGCCCACGACAGGCCAGCCCCGTCATTCCACGCCATGCTCTCTGGGTTAGGGCGCAGAATAGATAGAGGCTGCTCTTCGGTCACGGTCGTGCTCGTTGAGCGACTATTGATCTAGGTTCGCGACAGGTGCGCCACGATTGTCACAAAGGCACGAAGGAAAGCGACGCGACAATGGACCGGCTGGTTAGCCAGCCCGTCTGCCAGGCAGAGTTTCAGTCTACGAAACTGTTATTTGCGTCTGCTAAAGTGGATGGCAAGATGGGCCGATGGCACAGCCTTTCTTCGAGTATCAAACTATATAACTAGTTGTATTTTCTTTTTATCATTTTTTTTAGATGTTACTCTCGAAACAGTTGCGTAAGAGTTACATAAATGCTTTTTATTTTGATTAATTGAAAACATTCCGGTCCTAAAAATAGAACAACATCAGCGAGCATGCAAAATGAAATCATCGCGGCTGGTCATGAGTGCATAGCCAAGCCCATGAGTTGCATCTGACTGAATCACGCAGCGGTCACTCCATAATGGCTCTCTGATATTGCGCCCAGCACGGCCACCGTTTGGATGAGCCCGAGTGAACCATCATACCCTGTCTCCGGCTCAGAGGAACCATTAGCGATTATTCCCGTGGTTCGCCGACACCGCACGAACTCGCCGAGCATGGTTCTCGGCGGGGGTGCCACCATTAGGGCCCATTTGCTCGAGGACAAAGCCTTTGTTTCATTCGGACACCGCTGATGCCGAAATTGGCGATCGTGATACACGTTAGTGCCATGGCCGGCACGACCTCACGACAACCGTTTCCCACCGTGTCGGCGCTACAAGCAGAGCTCCACGCGTGCGCACCATGAATATGCATTTCCTCCGGTTCATTTGTGGCGCGTTTGTCCCATTAGGACAAATGGCGGAATGTGCCAGGGGCGGCGCCGGTGCCAGGACCGGCCCGGTGCCATTCTCGGCGCGTCCCACGCCGCCCACGTGCCACCGGGAGTCGTGACCGGCGGCCGGTGACAGAGATCGGTCGCGGTCGTTTGTCATCGAGTGGCACGTGTCGGCGGTGACGGACCCGCCTGTCACTCGGTGACACGGCTCCATGAACTCGGTCGGCGGCCGCGACTTCGTGCCCTGGGCGGCAGTGAGACGACTCTGGCCGACTCTGGGATGACTCTGGCTGACTCTGAGTCCATTCTGGGCCGACTGCGCGCCGAGCGGCGCCGGTGCTCTGTCACGCCGCGCGGAGAGCTCCGCTTGGAACCGTCAGTCACCACGGCACCGCTCCTCGGCGGCGCGGCTATTTCACAGTTGAACGCGCACAGAGGGGCGGGCCGACCGAGATGCGTCGGCCTCGGCCGCGACGCTGACCTGATCGAGAGCACGCCGAGTGACGGGTCAGCCGAGCGTCCGCCAGTTCTCCGAAACATCCGGCTGACCCGTGGTGATCGACATTTCGACCGAAGGAGATCAGAAGATGATGTTTGTCAGCTTAGGTCTAACGGCCAGGACACACGATAACATTTGTAGCATACCAGCTACTTATTTCTTTCGCATCAGGTAATCCGTATTTCAAATTCCCTCTAATTCCCACAACACGACTACCGGTTTATAATCCAGATCACAAAGCCGTCTTTTCTATTCAAACGCAGCCAAACAGCAAAATCCTCCATCACGAAAACGGCGTTATCCACTTGTCGCAAAGTCGCGTCTTCTCACGGTCACTGCTCAGTACTTCTCCGACGTCACGAGCATAGAACGCCCACAACTGAGGCTTCTATCTATCGACGTGAACGTGAGTTCGGCCCTGCTGAGGAGTCAGCCGCCGCTTCTGCCCGTCTTAGACCGTTAGGCGTGACCGAATGCCTCACAGACAGGCCGCCGCCAGGCGCTGACAGGCCGACGGACGGACGGACGGACTGACGTACGGAGAGACAGATGGACGGACGGACGGTCCGATGGATAGACAGACGGACGGACAGACCGATGTACGGATGGACGGACGGACGGACGGACAGACAGATGTACGGAGGGACGGACGGACGGACGGACAGACAGATGTACATGTACGGAGGGACGGACGACGGACGGATGAATAGACAGACGGACGGACGGATGGATAGACGGACGGAAGGACTGACGAACGGACGGACGGGCAGATGGGTGGATGGACCGATGGACAGTCCGATGGATAGACAGACGGACGGACAGACCGATGGACGGACGAACGGACGGACGCAAGGACGGACGGACGGGCAGATGGATGTAATGGACTGATGGACAGACAGACGGGCGGACGGATGGATGGACGGATGGATAGTCGGGCGGACAGACGGACGGACGGTTGGATGGACGGGTAGATGGATGGATGGACCGATGAACGGACGAACGGACGGACGGACGGACAGATGTACGGATGGACGGATGGGCGGAGAGACGGACGGATGAATGAACGGACAGGCCAGCAGACTGACAGGCTGATAGACCCTCAGAGTGTTCGTTACAGCAAAGAATTAAACAAACAATGAAATAACACACCAAATGACATCCCCGTCAGCCCGTCGGTAAACATCCCCAGTTCACTGAACCCTGACACGTCACACCAGACTCCATCAGAGCACCATGCAGTGTCTGGATGAGTTCACTTCACTCCACTCACCCAGCCGCTGACAGGCCTCGAACAGTCCCGAGCCACGCGCGCCCACCTCCTCTGATGATATGCAAATGACATGCGCGCCAGCCGCAAAATATTCCCGATCATTGAACGCTAGCTGTCTGCGATTCACTGCGAGGGTTGTCGGTTACCTCAGCACCTGTGAGCTCGCCGTTGGGACGCGCCGGTGACCGCTAGGAAGCGCAGGTCACTGGCTGACCCGTTTACTGGAGTTTTTCTCAGCGCTCGGCCGCCGCGGACGGTAGGAGACCATCCGTCTCCGGGCGCTGCTGGATAATGGGGGCGGGCACCCACGGAAGCGTCGCCGCCGCCGGGCCGGACGCAGGTCGATCACAAAAGACGCTCGGCTCGATAGAGGCTGACCTTCGGCCCGAGCCGGGGACCGTCGCTCGGAGCGGCGCACTGCGGACGGTCGGGGCGACCCGCCGCGCCGGTCAGGTCGCCGGGGTCAAGCTCCACCCGTTAATGGCGGTGTTCTCTTGTGTCGGCCGCTCGCCCCCGCAATTTCCGCCGCTTTTGTGTGCGATTGGTTGTGTTTGATGTTTCCGCACGAGCGGCTCTGATCGCGGTCGCGACGGGGAGTGTTCCGCGCCGCTGCTGGCCTGTAAACGCCCCGGTCCGGTCCGTGACTGGTCCCCGGCGGTCCGTAGCGGTCACTGGGCTCAATGTCCGGCAAGTAGGCTCGCTGGACACTCATTACCACAGACACTCATTACGCTGGGTACTCGTTATGACTAGAAGTGAAAGGGGAGTAGTGATTCAGACCTCGCCCCACCCTACAACCCAGTTTCTTCGGTCGAATGACTTCGGTCATCTCTACATAATCTTTGGCTTGATAACTACGTCCTGCCTGTCCCGATGTTTTCGGCTTATCCTGTCCCCTTCTGACGATCTGACCCATCTATCATGACGTCACTGGCCGGTCCGGCGGCTCCGCGCCGTCGCCGGCGGCCAGACGACTGACCCACTTGTTGCCGACTGGACCCGGTGTTCGGTCCTCGGCGCCGGCTGGACACTGTCCGGAATAGCAAACCGCCCGATCGAGCCGAAATTGGGCGCTACATCGCCGGCGGGCGTTGTTAGGAGTGTGTCTAGGAAGGCACTGACCGCTTCTAGAGGGAAGCAGCGAGGGGCTAAAACAGCGCCGTTGGTATGTCGTCGAGTTTTTAAAATCGTTGATCTAAGCTGCTTCCAACTTCAACACCCTGGTGCGGTCTCAGGCGCAACCTCAAACACTTGGTGGGCAAAATTGGCAGGCCACCAGTCTTGTCAACCTCTCAGACGCACATTTCCATTGTCCTCCGTGTCACATTTGCATACCGGTCCCGCTCAAACTTCCGTAATGCCATCTCTATAGGCGATACGTGCAGTCGACCTCACGTGCGACGCGTGACAAAGAATAATGATACCACCGAAATTACTGTTATGTGAAGATTTCCGTGCGTTGACTCTGTGCGCATCTGATGAAATCTGGGACCCTAATGCCGCATTTTCGGGGCACCTATCGCCAAACGCCGCACGCAAACTAGCAGCACTCAGCGAAGTGGTCGTTATTTCTTCCACATCGGTAACGAGGCTTTTGAATGGCTCATCTGTATCAGCAGAGGTAATATATCGTCGATACCCTTAGTTGGACGTAGATTATACGATCTCTGACCGGGAGCTGATGTGAAAGACGGCGGTGGATCTTACAGACGCTCGCCAGTGAGAATTAGGCGTGCCTGACAGCACCTCCACACGGGCGCGCACAATCGAGCCGATTGGGCGTGACCGGCTTCTGGCCTACTGTCCGACCCGTAGCACAAAGGCCGGCTGTGTGTCGGAGGCCGCCTCAGGTTCGGACTGCTGTGGCTAGGCGATTACCGTTTGATGATTGATTGACGAGTGTGACTGGAAGGGACGCCCTACATAATACAGCTACAATGGTGGATCAGCCAGGCGGCAAATTCAAGTCGCGCCTCTGTGCGGTATTTGTTATGGTAATGGTTGGGACGTTTCGTTTCGTAAATATCTTTACACTTCTAAAGTGATTTATATAAGCGTGCTGCTGTCAAGTCAAGCATCTCAAATGACTCGCATAGCATCTCTCAAATAAGATACATACTGGGTTAGCATATAGTAACTTCCTTTTTGCTGGATCACTCGACATTATTTTCATTCATTTGCAGGGGCGCGGGAACTACTTTCCGACTGGGGGGGCACACCATAATAGAGATCAACCTAGGGTACCCCCAAATCTAGTTTTCTCACCGGTTTTAGGCCACTTATTTTTCACCCCTCGGCTTTTTCAACAAAAAAAGAAAACATTTGCAAAAAAAGTGTGGTATTCCGTCTCAAAGTTGTGGGGGCACCGCCCCCACGGCCCCAGAGTTGGGGGGGGGCAAGCTGCCCCCACTGCCCCCCCCCCGGCTCCCGCGCCTATGTTCATTTGCCCCATCATCGTACGGACAGCAGTCTTCACGCCTCTTTCTGGTGACAGCTCAAAACCCAATTAACTCAACGTCTCTCTGATTTTCAGTTGTGTGCCGCTCAGTACAACCCAGCTCCGGTCAGCCGGCCGGCCAACATGCCAGAGATATCCAACCTAGAGGTCATGTGCGGCAAAGATCACATGACCGTCCAGCTCGGCTTCGTCGGCCCATTCCAGGTGAGGCCTCAAAGAGACTGGGATCTTTCTTAGCATGATAGTATATAGGTATAGCTAAACTTACATGTCATAATCGGTAGTGGGCACGTCACATACTCGATCAGACTGCATAAAGTGCAAGGGAGCGGAAGCAGCTAAAAAGTCGTTTTGCGCTATTGCTGATTGAGTAGGTACATATGTCAACCAGCATCGACTGGTTCCGGAACATTTTTCATTGCGACTATTATCTTTTCAATGGACATTTTGCTGGTTAGGTACTTAGCTATGCAGTATTTGATAATTTAATTACGGAAAAACGTCATGGTAGACTAAAGACTGCACAGTTAAAAACACTGCAGGTATTCATTAGCAATGCTTACAAGAGACCACGTGCTAAAAATACATAGCATACATGACAAGACGCCCGATGTATTTTATAGGGGCATTATCGATATAATTTGATAAGGAAGTTATCGATAGAGCCCGACAGGGATCATGTTTTCTATTCGTGGCGCTTCTTATCAGCTTATTACAGCGCTGATCTATAATTGATGTGAGCTGATGTAATCATTGAGCTGTATCCTGCTGGGAGTGTGATCTATAAGGCCTATATAAAGCTGTTACCGACTGGCCAGTTACCGCTGATAAGCTCACGGTCAACAGTCTATAGCCAACGCAAATATGGGACACTGAAGTGAAACGGGTTAGCAGTCTGACCACTCGCTAAAAGGAAAACCAATTTATTGGATAGTCGTTGGCCATCAAGATAAATTGCCCAGAGAGTAGGTAAGTTTGGATTAAAAAGTGCAATCCACAAGATGCAGCATATGCACATCCGTTTATCGTCTTCGCTTTATGCTATATGTTCTTCAGTTTCGCTAAAGCGGTCGCTGTGGACTCGATCTAACCATGTTCACGCCACTCTTCATTCCTGTCTTCCCCTACCATCACGCCCGTGTGGCTCCACACTCCCCATCACTATAAAATCTGCGTCGGACGCGGTGCCAGGCGGCGACCTCAGAGGGAAGCCCACCTCACTAGGCCAATCACGTACTCGAGACGGCTGTTAGTGAGGTTTTATGGTCTCCGACTGGCGGGATGCGATGCGACCACGTCCGTGCTGCCTCGACGGTCCACTGACCAGTGACCAGCGACCACTCGCCAGCGACCAGTGAATAGCGACCAGAGACCAGTGACCACTGACTAACGACCACTGCCTATCGACCATAATAGCGGGCAGCGACCATTGATCACTGATCAGTGACTTTCAATGAGCGACCACCGACCAGCGCCAATTGAAGGAAAACTGACAATTTATTCTCATATGCATTATGGCATGCATAATCCATACCTTAATATATAACAATTATCTGCGATTTTGTTGATATAAGACAAAACTAAAAATATTGTTAAAAAGAAACAGCCGATGAACGACATATACAGACAACCAAATGTCTGTTTCACTTCATCGCAACTTAAATCGGAATCTCATCGCGTTTCTGTTTACAATAACTCTTCGCCGCCGTCGTGCTGGCTACTGTGTTCATTTCACCGCTCCAACAACAGAACACTTCCAACATCCTGTTCACTGGCATTCAAAATATGTCAAACAGTTAGCCTGAATACCGGCTGTAATGAGACCGCATTTGTACGCGCCGTGTCGTTGTCCAGATTCCCACCAGACGGTCACACGAGACTTTTGACGGTCGTTTGAGCATAGCTCCGACCTAAATATTCGTCTATATCGTCCACAAACGGATCGTCGTGGTCTAGCTAAGCGCCTATTCACTCTCCTACCGGCAGTATAACTGTGGAAATGGATGTTATCTGTGGTGTAGATGTTCTCGTCGATCCAACAACATCAGACGTACGCACTATCTGACGGAGCACTGAACTGCCCCTGAGGGCGGCACTGCCATCTGGCCGTGACAAGTTGCCACATCGATCGTCACGGGACGTCGTGATGCGTCACGAAGCGTCAAGGAGTGTCACGCAGTGTCACGAAGTGTGACCTAGGTCAGCTGTTGATTTAGTGACTACCCTTAGTGTAGAGCGAGCGAGAGAAGATAGAAGATGGAAGCGGTAGGACAAAAAAACCGATACACAAACTCAAAGAAAACGGTGCGCTTTTGAAGAATTTTCCCTCTGTGTCTCAAAACATCAAGACATTTTAAATCGCTCGATATCCCAATCAGTCGGCATTCAAAACAGCTGCATCGCAAAACGATTGCGGAAGACCACCAGCCAATCCAAGCCGATTAATGATTGACATAAATCTCTGACGCGAATCCCCCGTCTGCATAACTGCTCTGAGTGGGCCATTCAGTAATTCGGCGAGACCCCGATCCTGTCTGAAGTTTATGTGGCGGCCACGGGTCGACTGGCGTCGTCAGTCAGGCGGCACGAGCGCTGCTGATTGCACGCTCGACTGCTCCCTATGATCCCACCACTGACCCACTTATCGTGGCCGGCCTGAGGCGATGCTCGGTAGGCGGTGGTGGCCGGTGCCGGGAGATTGAAGCAAGAGATGGCGGCGTGCAAGGAATGCGATGTCTGCAAGAATCCCTAGTCGATTCAAATACCTTTTATAAAGATGCAGTCACCCAGCATATATTCAGGATCGAACAGAACTGCTGGAGCTGCTGTGACCCATTCACAGCATCCCTGCCTAAAACAACTCACAAATTACCACAATAAGAAAAAAACGTCCCAAACTGACCCATGGCTAAGATCGCAGAATATCCGAGTTTACAGTCTAATACCAGCACCCTCCGTTGCTTTCCCGAAGCCAGGCTGTGTAGGCACGAAGTTCTCAGCTCCCTCCCACCTCACCGTCAATACTGCCTTGCGGGACGCCTCCGGCGATGTCTATCGGTACCGTTTTCATCCGCCGCCGTCGGGCTCCGCCCTGGCTACGACGCCATTCGTCTTACTGTTGTCTAGACCAGGCGGTTCGACTGGTCTGGGTGGTATTCCAGACCACTGATCTGACCAGGAGTAGCTGTGGTCGCGTCATCATTAGGCGCCTGTCCTGAACAGCGTCTGAATAGTCGGCGACCGGTGTCAGCGGAGTCATGTTCTGTGTCGGATTAGAACCGGTGCAATGCGGATACGGTGTCAGTGAACCGTCTTACCGTTGGGCGGTAGCGGTTTGGGACTTGTCTTGAGTCAAAAGGAGTCAGGACATGACGTTATGAGCTGTCAAGAGGCTGCATCATTTATCGAGGTCATAAACTCGAGCTGTCTGACCTCTGTCCTGAAACGAATGATACCAGTAACCGTCTGTCTTGTTCCTCCAGTCACCCGATACTTGTCCTGAATCAAATAACACATCCGACATGGTGCATGGATGTTCACAACTTCTCAGACGAAGTATCCAACCACCAACCGGACACAGCGAGCCGCCTGTAAATACAACACCACCGAGCCGCGGCATCTGACCACCTGCAGCTGTCGAGCGGCAACAGTCGGCACCAGGGGCTGGCGCGCCTGCCGGCTGACCCCGCGACCTACAGCGGAGGGTCAGCCGCGCCGGGTGCCGCGCCGGCTGACCGCTGCGGTCGCGGCCGAGCAGACACCACCACGGTGTCAGCTGCGGCGCCGTGTCCGTATCCGAACCGTGTCCGCATTGTCCGGTACGATGTCCGGTACCTCGACTGGTACCCGTAACGGTGTCTGTTGTCATGTTTGGTACACTGCGATCAGATACGGTCCAGTAGGGGTCCCTTTGAGTTTCGGGTCTCACAGAAGGCTTGTCGCATTTGTATGCCCAAACAGTTGCGCACTGTGTTGTGACCTGTTCCTCCCTTCTCGTATGATAATACCGGCAATTACCATACGCTCCTTCCTCACTGTTTGTTGCTTCACTTTGTACGCCATTTCGTCCGCAAAAGGTCAGCTTTTCTCGCCGTACGTTGCTGTGCCTGCCTTGCTGCTGTATGCAAGGGTTGCTGTCGGATACCCGTCTGGACATCAGTCTTGTTGCTGCGTTTTGAGAGCCCAACGCGACGGCCCATGACAGGAGTTTTTTTTTTTTGCGCGGTCAGGGGGTGGCATGGATATAAGAGATGGTGCTTGGGTCCATCGCCATGCGGTACACGACGCTTTCCTGAGAGGCCTCTGGCAGCGTCAGTCACTCCGATCACAAACGGCCCGGATGTGGACGACCGAGAAGCTGTGTTAGAGGGAAGCTTAGAGGTAACAGTGTAGTGGAATGCGGTGATGTTCCTCATAATAACATGGAACTTATAGTCCCCAACAGACTTTATCTTCAAAAAACTTTTTGTCTTCAAAGCATGCATTGAACTGCCCGAGCGACGATATTTATAATGACGAGGTCAAACGTCAAAATTCGCTTCCACCGTTGACTCTTGTCTGCATGCCTTTTAACTTTGTTTCATTTAGTCCGTTCCGGCTATACAAAATAATCCAGTCTCGCTTATCGTCATAGCTTTTTCGCTATTAGGTATCACTCGTCCATCTGGCCGAATTCGGTATCATGTTATCATTCCTTCTGTCCTGATCACACTTATTGTCGCGGATGGCCTGGCGAACGAACGGTCGCCGTTATCTCCTGCCCTGGAATGGGGCGGAGAGAGGAAACCTGTTTGGTAGCCACGAGGGGACAGGTACACAAGAGGCAACAGAAGCGGGAAGGACCCCACACGAAGCGACACGACAGTCGGTACTCTCTGGCTGTCTTTAGGTGCCGGTTAGTGGTTATTGTCAATGCTTAGGATTGATTGAGATTTGATGAAGCGTTCTGAAGTCAGGGTGAGCAGGACGTCAGGGACCTGTCATGTGTGACGGTTACGGTTTAATCCTCTGTAAAAAAGCGGGAGGGCGAATAAATCGAGCTGAACTATCAACATATTTGTAACGCGTCGTAATAGTACAGGGTGTCCAAAACATTTGATTTGATGAGAGGGACAGTTCCCCTTCAAAGACCATGAGAAGTGCTCGGTGACGGACCTGAAACGATTCCGTCCTGACCGTGTTCTTTGCTCCGCAGGGCCTGGTCTTCTCAAAGGGTCAGTTCAACAGTCCCAACTGTGTGTATGTGAAGCCATACACCGGTCTCGGGGCCTACACGTTCGACATCTACTACAACAAGTGCGGCACCAAGCCCGACCTCAATGGCAAGTTCTACGAGAATACCATCATCGTCCAGTACGACAACGAACTCATAGAGGTGCGTACTTAGTGATTACTTCTTACGGCACTTTTCAAGACTTATGGCTGTTTATCAATAGTTAACCCTATTAGAGGCAGGCTCCTGGCTACCCCTATTAGTGGCAGGGGGGGGGGGCTGTTTATGACCCCCCTTGATATCTTGAGATCTAACGGGCCGATTTTCAAAATTCAAACGGCATTCGATTTCTCTCAACGTAATCTACATTTCTAAAAAATAAAAATTAAAAAATGTCAATAGGGGGTAGAGAGGGGTAAAAACGGGCAAATTGCAGATACATTTTAGACTGTTTATCACGGCCAGGTTTCTGAACCAATCTTAACGCAACTTTTGCCGATCGATAGACAATGAACCAGGAATTCACATGGATCCTAAAAATATGCATTTTCAAAAATCATAGGCGGATACAGATCATTGAGATTGGGGGTACACAAAAAGTATAGTAAATAAGGTTTTTGTTGGTACTGTTTCTAAAAAGGGTGGTAATGGTCTTGTTATGTTACAATTTTCTTATGAGAGAACGACTACAATTGTATTGGTCATGCATAGGCGGTGTCAGGGCACCTATGTTGGGAGGTAGAACATAACCCCCCTTTTTGAACGCCTGGATCCGCCTATTATAGCAAAAACGTGTCAAAAGAGGATGCACAATAACTTTGTATATGTTATCACATGATACCTTTCATTCACTGTTCGTAAAACTGCTGCATACAGTTATAATACATCAGCATCGTGATCTTCGCCCAAATGACTCGCTTCACGAATAGGACCCCCCAATTCCCAGTGCTCTGGAGCCGCCCCTGGTAAAGTTATGAACTTGAAATTTTCAGGGAATGTGCCCAATTTAGTTTTAGGAAAAGTCAGAAAATTTCAGCATCGTAGCTTCAGCGGTTTCGGAGATATTCCCGAAAAACCTGAGGGATGGATGAAAACAACCCCCCCTGCCACTAATAGGGTTAAATACCAAGCAGAGGTTATGGTGTATTGCTCTAAAGTGCATATATATTCAATTATTGCAATCTTAGGTTCCAAGAAGAAACTAAGATCTGCATGTCCCATATGCATCCAATGATTTATTTGATAATTAACTTCGATAAAAGTCATGCAACTAGCAAAACCGTTTAGAAATCAAATCAGCCCAATCGCCGATAACCATTAATTTAGGATCGTTCCGCACTGACCCGCAACATCCACCTGCCGTGACCCAGGTGTGGGATGAGGCGAAACGTCTCCGCTGCGAGTGGTACAACGACTACGAGAAGACGGCCACCAAGCCGCCCGTGGTCATCGCTGACCTCGAGGTCATCGAGCTCAACTTCCGAGGTCAGTTCCAAGTCACACTTCAATCAAACCACTGCCAACATGAGTGGTGTGTATTGTGTAATCGTAGGACCGTGAGTTGTTGCTCTGTTGCTTTTCCTTGCACCATCTCTGAGGAATGCTGACCGCATATCGATGCACACGTGTGCATTATACCGCTCGCGAGGGAGAGTCGCCCGCAGGGAACACACAACTCAGCACAAAGCAAAGAGTGGAGATATTTATCTCCCCCCGGACAACAGCGAGGCGAATTTCATTGCTCACCTCCCAATGTCTGCTGTCGCCTTTGCTCTCGTCTAGATTTGTGACGCCGTATTTCAATGTTTACAGAACCGTCGCGAGCGACACTCACTAAATTTCTCGTCCCACAATCATACTCGCTCGTGGCAGTACCACCCTCTGCCAGCGCTACCCGCAGGGTCGGCACTCACCCATCCGATAAAAATCTGCTGCTTTTCTTGTCCTCGTCATAAACTGGCCAATGATGAGATTTCTGGACATTTATAGCCGAAAATTACCGCCTTGCTAAGAGGAGTAACCAGTGATTGGTGTCGTACCGAGATTACCGGCGTGGTAAGAAGGATCGCTGGGCCGCCGTGTACCGTTCAGCTGCCGCCATTCCGAAGCGTGCGGGGAGACGAATAAGATAGGAGTAGGACGGGACGGAAAGGACGGAAGGGGTGGAAAATGGGAAGGACATGGTAGAAAAGGACAATAATTAATTGAATATCATAAAAGATAGACCAGCTCTAAAAAGAAGTGCTGTTATCTACCATGAGGTCCGAGTAGGCGACACGGAAGGAGAGCTGTAGCGCTAGCGGAAGTTGAACTCGTCCAGTTTGGGATGAGGGTTAGTTGGAAATGATTCACCTTCAATAAAAAAAAACATAACACTTGGGAAACGTAAGAGTGAAAGCACAACACTGATGAGCAGCAAAAAAAGAAGAAGTATGCGACAAGACCCTACATTTTTTATATAAAAACCTTCCTTCCCCGTTCTCCCACACAATGTCCGAGCTGAGTTGGCTCCCCGTTGCTCCTGTGTGTTGGACCACGTCGGTAGCGTAGCGCCGCGACACTGCGGTGTCAGGTGGCTGACGGTGGACCGATGTCGGGCCGACGCCGACGCGCGGTCAGCGTCCACAGCTGTCCACTGACGGCCCGTTACCGCTCCGAACGGCGAGTAACGGCGCGCCGGCGACCAAAACGACGCGGTCCGCGCGCCGCCGCCGCCGCAGACGACAGATGACGCGCCGCGCCGCGCGTGATGAAGACGTTATAACTGGTTCACGAGCGGTTTTCCAGTTGTAGCAGTGCACTGCTACGGTGACTTACGCCACTGCAGTGGCGTAAGTCACCGGCCCAACAGTAAATGATAATATTCTTAATATAATATTTTATCTATTTATCGAAAATCAAAAATTAATAAGTGCGTTTTACGATACCTAAGCTTACTTGTGACTTATCACATGACTAACGAGCGCCCTCATAATCTCCGACGGATAAGCCAGCGCCTGACCGCTGCCGCTGGGACAGTAGGTCATCGGTGTCGCTTCACCGGGCGCAGAGAGCACCACGGGGTCACGAGTCTCGCAGCCTCTGAGGAGCCCATTTCTTCCCCGTACCACCCCGTCCCGGGACCGTACCAGGGGACGCAGAGCGGTGACCCAGAACGGTGCAACCCAACCGGACGTCATCTTCATAAGCCCGAGATACTGGCTGATTCCTGATTTGCATAAGCCGATAATGGTATTCGTTTATCTGCCTGTCTCGTGTGTTGACTTCATGTTTGTTGCTTTTCATTATTTGTGTTTAGTGGAGTGGAGGCGGCAGGCGAATCCAAGCGGTATGACGGCATGAATCCCAGTTTAATGTCCGTCTTTTCTGTCGTCCTCGCTAAGTGCTCTAATGCACAACTGGAAGCGTCCCCGCACTTCGTCAGAACAGCCTCGGTGAAAGCTTTAATCAGACGTCGCCGCGTCTTTTACAGTCAGATTCAATTTAGGGACGGTGTGCGTCGTTATCCTCTCACGGTACCGACGCACTGTCTGTTTTACAGTTTTGTTTACGCCGCCGCAGCATGTGACGACTCAACCCCGCGGCAGCGAGCCTGTGGTGCTGGTATGCGATGTGCTCACTATTCTGACAAGCATCCGTCCCTCTCTGTCTGCCGCAGGAGACAATGTTGACTGCTGGATGGAGATCCAGGATGGCAAAGGACCCTGGGCCAGCCCTGTGACCGGCATTGTGCCGCTAGGATCCACACTGACCATGGTTGTGGCTATCAATGATCCAAACGGTAAGACGAACTGAGATGAATGTGGAATCTCATACGTGGGCTGTGAGGCAGAGGAGTGTGGGGAGTCCGGGGAATGCGTTGGCGTCTAATGTATAGCGTGCGTTGAGCTCATCGTGAAAAGCCATCTCGGTTAATTGGAGAAGATCATGTTTGCTTTGAAGCCCAGGAGGTCGTAAGTTAATGTGATTGTTTTGAAGCGGAGGTTATTACGGGTCAGTTTCAATTGTCGTAGAGGGAGTTGGAACGGTTGAACGTTGATGTGAGTCGGCTATTATTGATGTTACGTCACGGTATATGGGCACATGATTTCCCTCAGACATTCGTCAATGGTAAACGTGAACACTCAACCGTAAATTAAATCATCAATAGGCGATCGTTCAGCCTGCATCAGATCTGGTGCATGGAACATCGTGCACCCCACATTACAGTTTTATTAGCTCTAGTTCTACCATCTAACGCCAACCTTTCTCCGCAGCCGAGTTCGACATGCGAGTGAAGGAGTGTGAGGCCTCTGACGGGAAGGGTCGTCCCATCTACCTCTCTGACGAGAACGGCTGCGTGCTGCGCCCAAAGATGATCAGCAAGTTCATGAAACTACGCAGCAACGACGGCCGATCCACAGTCATCACGTACGCCCACTTCCACGCCTTCAAGTTCCCCGACAGCATGTACGTCCACCTCAAGTGCAAGGTCGAGATCTGCCGCTACGGGTGCCCGGACCACTGCCAGAAGGCTGTGGCCGGAGGTTACGCTGCTCCTTCTGCAGTTTCTGCCCAGTACGCGGCCCCCGAGGCGCGTGGGTACGAGGAGGGTGGTCTGCCCGCCGCCTCTCAGTACTCTCCTGTGGTGTCAAACTCGCTGGACGAGGCGGCACCGAGTGCCGAGGAGCAGGCACCGGTGGTGGTGCAGGCTGAGCTGGCCGAAGATTACGACTCACCGTCAGCGCCAGTCGCCGAGCAGCTCCAGCAGAGCGCTCCGGCCGCCGCCCAGGACTTGGAGAACTACTCCCCTCCTCCGCCGGCCGCCGACGAGCCGGTCTTGGCCGTACCGCAGCCAGCCGCGCGGCCAGGACCCAAGTTCCGCGCACCTCCGCGCCGCCGTCGGCCGCAGCAGCAGCGGAGACGTCCGGGACCGCGCCGGCCGCTCCACAAGCGTGTCGACCTGGCTCGTCCCGCCGGCAGCGGTCAGACGATCCGCGCTATCCCGCTGCCTCTGCCCCCTCGCGGAGGCGTCAACCGCCAGAACATGCCGGAAGAGCTGCCGCAGCTGCCGGAACATCTCCAGCCGGTGCTGTACGCTCCCAGCACCCAGGACGTCATCGGCAAACCCGAGGCGATCCCAGTGCCCTTCGAGACAGACGGACGTCATGCCGCCTCAGGCGCCACCGGTGACGGAGAGCAGACCTCAGACGCCGGTCTGGGCGGCATCGACCGCTCCGAGTTCCCCTGGGGACCACGGCAGCTCAAGATCCGACGGAAACGCTTCGTCGTGGACGAGCCAGAGGCGAAGGCGACCGACATCGGCGTCGGATCGCTGCTCGAGGTTATCTCTGAGAATGACCTCCAGTTCGAGCCGACCTACGAGGACAACCAACGAGTGACCATCTTCCAGGGTCAGATCCGGGACGACATTGTGTACGGCATCTGTCTGCCGGCGGCCGGCTTCTCGGCGCTGTTTGTGCTGCTGGCTATGTGCGCCGTTATCTCGGTGCTGGTGGCTGGCTTCCTCTGCCAGCACCGACAGATGCAGAAGGACTCGAACCGGCAGCCGGCGGCGGTGCCGCTCCGCGACTGGAGCATGGTGCACTTCCTCCGGCAGCGCTTCCATCCGGCGCAATGAGTGGGTGTTGACGCTGACGTTCTAAAACGACACGTGCGCGGAGACGCTCGTGGACTTTAACCGCAGCGCCACCTACCCTCCTGCAGCTCTCGCTCCTGGCGGAGGAGGCTGAGAGGCCAGAGACGCTCACGCGCAGAGCGGTGGCGTACTAGCGGCCCGCGCAGGCCTCCTCTGCGGAAACTGTGGATGTGGCTCTCTCGCAGCGTCTCTAACAAACGTGATGAGCGTCCTGCGTAGAGACTATGCCGAGACCACTGCAGCGTGGTTTGAAATGCCACCTTGCCCGCCGCGTGAGAGACCAACGCCAGTGACGTGACAGACTGAAACATTCTACAAGTGTTCGCAGCTAGAAAGCGAACATCTAAGTGGAGGACAAAGTGGCCTGCTCACTCGCTGATTGGCTAGGACAAGCCCACCCCGCTTGTTTTAGCCAATCAGCGCCTAAAGGCTCGGGTAATGTTGAACGTTCTGTGAACATTGCTTCAGGATGCCTTTGGGAAAGGGTAGTAGCCGCAAGGACTAATCTAGGTTGAGTGACATCGCATGCAAGTGAACGATTTGAGCATATGTGATTCGTGTAGACTGTAGGCTTTGTGAGCTTTGATCATGTAAAAGCATTGGAAAACCTGGATGCGTTTCGATAGCAAATTACTAGGGTAATAGTCTATCTTCGGCTACTCGTATTGCTCGTCAAAGTTGCAATGCTTGCTAAATTCCCAACGACTCAGAAGAAGATAATATACTCATCTTAGGTCTATTTTGCGATATTTATGATTCAATGTTATTTATTATGTTATTACGACATTGTGTATGTGTGATTGTTATAACGGTGGGCCCGGCGTGACTTGACGTGGATATGTATTGTCCGTCCACGGTTGGCGTTCTGCCAAGAGACGATTCGGGCGCCATTTTGTTTTGGTGACGAGAACCCTGTGGCGTGACGCGCTCGATGTGTGAAGGACTCTGATAATTTGCTCAATTGTTTGCTTTACATCCAAGCTGACAGAGCCTGGCATACTGCGTGCTTCACCAATCAGTAGGCATTATCTGGCGCACTAACTGAGCGAAACCTAGGAAATGCCACATTCTTGTCCCTTCGCTGTTACTCGTTGGACATTTTGTTGTCTGTTATTGTCAGGTTTTCTGCGCGATTCGATGTTTCTCCTGTTGTCTGTTCTTACTTAACTATTTATTGACGCGTAATAAACAATAACCTGGTGAACGTATGTTGGAAGAGGTACTAAGGAAATATCGGTCTTGGTCTTTGGGAAATATCGGCTGGGGCAACGGAGTCGACAATTTATCCAAGAGGATGCATTTAAATATTCTAGGATCACCAGACGATAACCACCATCGTTGCCTATCAGATTGGCAATGGGCGAAAAAAGAGGGTTGACGGATTTTTGACGAGATGTCTGCTCAAGGGCGTTATCGATTTCTGTAGTTGCACTTAACAGCACGTTCAAAGAAATGCATTTTTTTTCTCCCCAAGAACGGAATGCTCAGGCACATGTTATTTTACAGAGCATATTTTGAACCTAAAACTATATTCGAAACCTTCTTCAACACAAAAAAATCACGCCGTTTAACGACTTTCCAGCCACAAGCGAACAATTACGCTACTGCACATATCATATCACAGCCCTAGTACTTTTTGCTTCTTTGTCTCGGGTATCCAGTCAGCATGTCGATCATGTGGACGGCCAGCAACTCCTCCTCCATGTCCAGCTGCGCCTGCGTCATTGGCGCCGGAGGATCCGGTTTGACGTTCTTCGGCAACTGTTCCAGCAGGACCTTCCACTTGGCATCGTCCCCGGAAGTCGACTCTACCTTATTAGCCACTGATCGCAGCTTTCGGAATATCTCGAAAACCTCTTCATAGCCACAGGGATATGGGTAGTAGATGTCCAAGTTTTTGTCTTCGAAGAAATAGAAGAGAGGCTTTCCAAGCATAGCAGGGAAATCCTGAAACGTGAGAAAAATGTGTCTTAAACGTCGAGGTTGTCAAAACTAAGCAGTGATGCCTTGAACAAACCGATGGTCAGCAATAATTCCCATGACTTAAGCACGAAATCAATCAGTAATTGATCACTTATTTCATCAGAATAGGTCACATATTCACAGCAGTAGATCGTAGAACCCCTGCTCCGAACACCTGGTATGTCCGAGGGTGGGACCCTTGCTTCTACCCCACCCCGCTATGTCACTGACCCCGGCACCGACTGGTCAGCATTGTTCGACAGTGAAGTAACGATTTCTCCCTTCCGTCTCCCGCCCGGACCTTTAACGCGGCCCGCCCCTCTTGTACTCCCCGTTGAGACAGACAAGACTAGCGGCAGGGTGGGCAACCCCACCCTCCTCGCCTCTTGTCTGGACAAGAAGGGCGGTTAGGGCGAGAGGATTGGCCAAAGCTCCCCGGTCAGTGTCTATCGGTCATTACAGCTCGGACTGGTCACGAGAAGCATGTCCGCTGTCTGTCGACCTAAGGGCGCAGAATGACCGACAGCACGACAGCTTAACGGCCGCCCGCCCACGCAGGTCACTATCCACCTCTAGGACCCCACCGGATGGGAGTGAGGTGCCCCGGGCCGGCGGGGCCGAACCCAGGTCCGACACACCCTGTTCCCACGTCCGAGCAGTCACTGCAAACAGCTCCGTGCAGTGCACCGTACCAGCCAGAGGTCAACTGCAGGTCAACACGCCGTGAGCTAATTGATAATCGAACGAGCGCACAAGACACCGGCGCCGTTGCGTGCTGGGTGCGGGATGAAATATGGTTGGGAGAAAGATAAGATTAGTGCCCGTTGGGCGTTTGACTTGCCGGCCGCACTTCGATTTGATCAGGGATTAAATTCATTTTCATTATTTTATCTCACGGATTAGTGGAATCGGGGGAAGAAGTGGGAAGTACGTACTTCGTTTAAGATGTTGTTGAGCGTCTCCTGTTTCTGTGCCGGGGTATCCGACATCCATGTCGAGGACAGCCACGACGCCATGATATCCTTATCTGAAAATGATACAATATTCACAGATGATATCGTTCATGCAAGGTGCATAAAAGCGACAATTTAGCTCTCCAAAGTCCATCGCTTTGTAACCAATCAAAAACATCTTTTTTTATTTATCGAATCAAATTGAGTCCGAGCGTTTTCAAGAAATGTAAAAAATGAACTATCAATTAAATCGTGAATACACTTGATGACATTAAATGTGATCAATCCACATTCTACGCATCTTTAGGAACCCATTCATCGATTCGATTCCTGTGTAGCTAGATAATAGATATAGCAGCTTACACATCAAAAAGAGCTGTCTGAATTCTTCCACAAGCCCCGATACGTTGTCGACCACAGCTTGCTCCACAAATTCGGTGTCATCTGAAAACAAAACAGTTTCCGTGTCAATGCCTGAGGAAGCACAGGGTAGCATGCGCTCACGCATACCGGGGGAAGAAAGTTGTTTCTTCTTTTTGTTTCTAAAATCGTCCCGGAAAATCGCAAAACCGTATTCATTTGTGGCCCCTGCAAAGAACGTTTGAAGGCGAATGTGTCGGCATGAGACAGCGACAAGCGGCAAACACTTATGTGAATCGTCGTAAAATAGTCATGAACATCCGTCAGCCTGCAGCGTCACCCCACAGATGGCAGCACGTACCACCCAATCCCTCCCCGGAACCGCCGGACCGGAGCGCCACTCACTGAGCGTCAGCCGCAGGTTGGTGTAGAGGGCAGCCCTGTTGGCCGCCTGCCGGGGTCCCCTGACATCAGCCAGCTCCTGAACCTGCATCAGACGCGCCCAGGGAAGCAGCACGTCCAGCCTCAGAGCCTCCAGGCGCCGACGGAGCGAGTTCTCCAGCCGTGAGAGAGCGGCGTCATTCTCCGCAGGCAGGGTGTTGCTGGGACTGAGGGAAGGAGAGATGGCGTCATTGAGAGGTTGATATTGAAAAATAAGCTTTATGAATGAGCTTTCGAAAGCGAGTTTACGATTGCAAGATGGGAGCATGGAATCATAAGCAGCAATAAGACAGATGAAGTCGGATAATCATATTTCACAATCGGTAGAACTTTGTCTCGGGTTAAGCTATTTGAGAAATCACTGCTTATGTAGACACGAGTATGTTCAACTTAAAAAGAGCAGCGTCAATTTTCAAAATACGAGCGTGACAGTTGACACTGAACATGATGAAACCAATGGCACATTACCCCTTGTAGTAGTCATCAAGCAGCGTCGGAGCTTCTGTTAGGTATCTGAGTATTTTGTGATATTTATCTTGCTGCCCTGCAAAGAAACATTTCAGATTAGAGCTAGTCGACCACAACAAAATGAAAAAGTACATCTTGGAATGATACAATTAAATATGCGTCCCAGGTTCTTACCGTAACCGTATCAAAGGCCCGTCAAATACCCGTATCAAAGGCTCACCGAGAAACGCACGTCGCTGATCAACGAATAGCAATTCAGTTTTCATTGAGTGCCGTGATAAAGGGTTTCTAAATTTAGTTGTGTCGTATCATTTTGTCAATGCTGATACACCCATCGATGTCTAATTTACTAATAATACTCTCTTCCAAAAATAATGAGCCCATTTGTGTGACTAACCAGCGTTGACGACGTCCACCTTCTGCTTGAGGGCCTCGAGGACGGCCTGCGGCCCAAAGGCGTGACACGCCGTGGGTGACACCAGCGGGTGTCGGCCCTCGAGTGTTACCAGACCGGAGCATTGCGATGACACCGCAAACGACACCTAACAAACGGTTAAAATAGTCAGTGACGCAGAATAGGGCCACGAGAGCTCGTAATATTACGAGGGCATTATTATCATGCGGCATACTTAATTCATACAACTTTTATATAGGTCAAATATAAAAATGAGCATTTCGTGTAAGCAAAGAAAAATATTACGATACTGAACTGACACAGATCATGAAAATGGGAATCCAGAGAGTAAGAGAAAATCCCGAATTGTGCATTCCCTTCACAAAGACAGGCTTAAGTAACGACAAAGTGCAACGCCATAGTAGATGAAGCTTGTTTAGCTTGATGACTTGTGGAGCAGGGGTACTTACCATTATTAGCATTATCCACATGTTGAGATCCTTCAACTGGTCACAGACTTTACTTATGACAAAATCACTGACCCTTCCCTCAACACAAGCACAGGCTTGGGGAATGCACACCACCTAATTTTAGTCACTTTATCCTCGTCGGGATACGCCCTCCTCTCAACACCCTCCAATCGCGATAACGCGGGAATCGCAGGCGGTTCTCAACACCACGTGTCGTTAACTGACGGACACGGTCCCCGCTAACCCCTGCAGTTCCCTATCCCCACAGCGTGCCACCGTTTGGGCTGGTGACGTGTAACAGTGTATTGATCGGTAACGTAAAGGTTACGGACGGTGAATTTCTGACGCCCTTTGCGCCCGTTTGAGTGACAGCAGGGAGGGGAGGAGGGAGGGAGGGGGAGGGGAGGGACGCTGAGTCGGTGTGAGCATGATGGCATGGTGTCCCGAACGACGGGAGATATTTAAAAAAATGAGAACGACAGTGGAAGTCATCCTCACAAAATCAACACAATTCTATGCATCGATGTAATTTCAATTATACAATTAAAAGTTTCATCAAGCCTTCAAGGCAACCAGCAGTTGAGACATACGACACCCATACCTTCATAGTATCTATGCATCCAGTGACAAGTTGGCATACGTATATCGGTTTTAAAAACGGCACACGTTCTGATTCAACGCTATCACCACAAAGCAACTACCTACAGTGACAATGGCTGGTAACTTCGTCTAGCGTATGACAACTCACACATGCAGCATTCCACGAGCCTCTCTTCCTCGCACACAAATCTCGGTTACATCACAGAAGTCATGTGTGCTTACCACTTGTCCCGTTCAATATTCAAGCATTCATATTCCATAAAACACCCACGGAAATGCCCGACAATCCAATGGCTAATAAAAAGACAGGTGGGAAGTAAAACGCCAAAGGTGCCGGTGCGAACTGAAAGTCTCGAAAGCCAAGCACAAGCGAAATACATGCATATGACAATTCACAGAAACATACAAATAAGTTCAAGGTAGGGTGCAATGTCGGACTAATAAATATAGGTACGCGAACACATGTCTTACGCTACTAACACATTACGCTTCCACGATTCATGTTTAAAAGAACTTCTTTGGGTTTTGCTTAGCTATCACTGCCAGCTCCAATTTCTCGTCCTCCATGAAGATTGTATCGTCACTGGAAGAACAAGAGCGATTATCAATTATTAGGACTTCACTCGCACCTACAGCCAAGAAAGCGAGATAAGATAGAGCACCTTTGGAATGATTCAGACAGAGGAGGCAATACCTGAATGTAGAAGACCAAGAACTACCACTTTCCCGGCACATGAATAAAAAACTTTCAACCAATTTGCATCAACATCACGGGCTACTTCGATGGCAATGTACAAACGTATGTCTCATTTGTTGGATTCATGCCACCAAATCAGAAAACCAGAAACATGATTAATGTATCCAAATCACTCAAATCCTTGCAGTAGATCCCGGCGCCCCACTACCCCTTCCCACCCACCTGTAGAGCTGGATGCAGATGGGCTGTCGGTGGCAGTGGCCGCTGGGACACGGCCGCTTCTGTAGGACGCACACCTTGCCCGGCGGACAGCTCTCACAGAAGGGCGCCGAGCGGCTCACGCACAGTGGCTGCAGCGGACACGTCTGACCGGGCTTACAGAGACCTCGCGTGGCCGCACAGCGCGTCTGGTCGCCGCACCGGAACCGCACTGTGCGACACGGGTGGACGATCTCCGATACTGTGGGAGGGGGGGGGGGGTAGGAGTGATATGTTGACACGGGTGTACTGTCAGTCTTGAAAGTACCGCGCACCGGTGCGGTAGATCCATCAAGCCCGACCGAGGAAGGGCCGCTAAATTTGAGTCACCAAACTAGCTCACATCCTCATCAATCCCCAGGTCAATTGGCACGGTGACTCTCAAATTTAGCAACCTTTCTTCGGTCGGGCTTGATGGATCCGCCGCACCGATGCGCGGTGCTTTGAATCAAGACTGCATGCATAGTACACAGACACTGCGTGGAGAGGTCAAGGTAGCGGGGTGATATCGTTGGAGCAACTCACCAACTCATACGCTGCGGGAAGGGGCGGGCCATGGGGTTGATATCAGGTATGCTACCGGTGGACCGTTGTCAGTTACATCGCACATAAATCTGTTGTATCTGATATGATCTGATATAGCAATGCGAGTAGCACCGCATTTCGACAGTTCATTGCACAGTAGCAGGTAAACGTGTCGATACATTTCTGAAAACGGATAGCAGCTAACTCAAAAATCATGACTCCAGTAGCTCGAGGTTTGCCAGGTCCAGTAAAATCCCTGTGTGAAGTTCACATGACCCCGTTCATGTGCTGAATGACCCTGAAGTGGCGTTACCCCGCTCTCATTGGCACTGCAGTAGACTGCGGTACGCAATGACGGACGACCGTGAAATGGTTTTCCTCGTCAACTTGCAGTGTCAAAATCGAAATGATCGATTGCAAATGTCTTCTGAATGGCCTGTTAGTCATTCGGTAAATAATTGTTAACCGTAATATCGAGATGTACTAATCAGCGAAGGGACTTTATTGGAACGAATTGTTTTTTATTTCTCCTTTGCTTCTTCCTTTCCATGGGGTCTCACCTGGTTTCTGACAGGTGTGACCACATCCTGTGCTGCAGCACTTTCCGTCCTCTGAGCAGTCATAGTCGCTGGTACACTCCTCGACACATCTGCCCCGGTAACCGCGGGTGAGTCGCGGGCAATAACCGGGCTTCACTGCGAACGGGAGGAGACGTCAGATAATTAACACGGATACACGTAAGTGGTATCTTGTGAATAAATAGGTGATCGGTAAAGTGACTGATAAAGTTGGGCAAAAAGTTAACAATTGTTATGCGTCTGCATAGTGCAATATTCGTATTGAAGTTAACATTATGACAGTGAACAATGAACATTTAATAACGATAAATTTGACATATGGTAACGTAAGTGTAGGCAAAATACAGACAGCTAGGCGTGCGTTTCCTTAACAGCTCGATTTTGAGGTTCACCAACGTTACCCCGGGTTCTCATGTTCACTTACCTGGAGGACACTCCTCCTGCGAGCAGAGCAAGTAGCCCTGGATACAGGTGCAGCTATTACACTCAATATCGATTATCTCGCCGTCTTGCTTGCAGGCTGCAATGGAAAAATACATGTCCAGTTGTCAGATGACATATTATTTTCTGAAAGTATGCATATACGATAGCCTGCAATTATTGATCCGTTGTTGATGGTAACTTGTACCCACAAAACATCACCCCTTACATTCTCATTATGCTGGCAATCACATCCCACGTGCCCGACCATATGCGTCATTACCTTAATCCCGTGGAAGGTCATGCAATATGAGGCTAAACAGGGGAACAGACCACCCAACATCCCGGTAAGCATGCCTGAGGCGCGCCGAAACCCAGTGACGCGAGTGAGGTACCCAACAACCTTCGGGTGGGTGCACAACTTACCAGTAAATCATCTTGCCCAGCAGCCGCAACAGCCAGAGGCCAACAAATCAGTTCCGCTCAGATGTAATTGGTCGTACTCGTGTGAATTCAATGTCATGATGCATAAAAGACAAAAAAAAAAACGCAGCCTAGCATGTGGAATGTTGGGTAAATTATTCTAATAACATAAGGCCAAGTAGGTCTGAATTTTATCAAAACGTCGATATTGATGTTGAGTGCGGTCCATACCAATTAATTCCTCATAGTTGTTATGATCATGCTGTTATGCTATGCACAATGCGCATAATGATGTTACGTTTACCTCTGCCGTTTTCCCTAAAAAGTTTCAATTATTCATTCATCAGCCTGATTATGCTGGAACCTTTTTGCTGCAGAGTATGCTCGTTTCTTACGTGGGGTCAGTCAGTGCTTACTTAGGCACTTCGAAACAAATATTTACGATGTCCACCACTCATTTATTATGAATCGATAGGTTATCTATGAAGCAGCTCAACAAAAATGTGTAATATCATGACGTTATTTATTTGGCTATGTTAGCGCACAACTAATTCAATACACCCAACGAAGATGAACAAGGAAATCTCTAACAAGGCACGCCTATCTCAAAACACTAACATAGAAAACAGGTGACTAATTACATATTGACTACACTACCTGGACTTCGATACTGTATCCCGGGATGCGAATTTAAACCAAGTGCGCACTACCGCAAACCCACACTCAGGAAACCAGAAGGGAGCAGCAGTCCATATTCTGTAAGCTACGGCGGTGGGGGAAGATAGCCGAAGAATCCCTCGTTCTGCGCCTTGATGACCGACGGATTGAGGGGCTCTGGTGCGCGTGTTTCGAGACCGACGCTTTCTGGATCTCGGGGTCTGGCGCTACCGACGTCTCCAGGACTGGAACCACTGGATCCTCCAGGCTGGACGCCGCTGAAGGGTTCCTCGCTGGGAGGCAGCATGCTGAACACCAGGCTCGGCACGATGTCGACGGTTCCAGGACGGAAGGAGAAAGGGCTCGGTGGACGTAGCGGGGTCGTCGTCGATGACTTTGAGGCAGTCGTTCTAGGACGGAAGGAGAAAGGACTGGGTGGACGCAGCGGAGTCGTCGTCGATGACCTTGAGGCAGTCGTTACCGGTCGAGATGTCTTTACTGGTCTGTTGTCCGTAGGCTGTCGGTCCACGGGGCGAGACGTCTGTGTCTGAGAAGGTCGTCGTCCTGGTTGTCCTACTGAAGTCGGTCGGGGCGATACGGTCTGTCCGGGGGACCCAGGCTGAGGTCGGCCGAGGGGTCGACGTCGCCGTGGCGGAGTTCCGCCCACTGAGGGCCGAGTTGAGTCTGTCTCAGTGGCAGTCGGTCGTTTGTCAGGACGTCCTGTCTCAGTGGTAGATGGTAGTCTGTCGGGGCGTCCCAAAGGTCTCCTAGGTCTCTCAGAGACAGGGCGCGATGGGAAGGTCTGCCCAGTAGCCCCAGGTCTCTTGCTATCAGTAACAGAGGTCTGATTTCGCGAACTTACCTTCGGATCTGGTCGAGATGATTGTTTGTTGGGTGTCGGCTCGAGATTCTGGCTGTCAGTTGAGCCCACCAACACGGGCTGAATAGTTGGACCGGGCAGTATATTGTCAAAACGGGAAATTTTGACTCCAGGCTTTTCTACATCTGTTACTGGCGAGACGCGCTGTCCGTTAGAGGGACGCCGGCTGGGAGAACCAGGTCTCCGTCCAACGCTTCCTTCTGTTCCAGGTGATCCAGTTTGCTCCACAGCAGTAGGTCTTGCAGGTCTCCGACTGGGGAC